GTAACTATTTGTATTTGTGTTTATGACATTTTGGACTGTGTATTATACTTCTGAACCTTTTACGTCACTACTTGATTTGCAATGCATTGTGGGATCAGTTTCTAGAGAAAACAAAAAAAATCTTCCATGTTCTGTCCAAAATATATCCTACAATGCATTATGCCTATACGGTATATGACGCAAGTAAGACCCAGTTCATACGACCTTTTGCCGCGTCTAATCTAATTGCTTGCATGCAGTTCACAAGGAATGATGTCTAAATCAATAGTCTCCTTCACGGATACCTGCGCCATCTTGAAAGGTAGCCGTGCCTTAACATGGAAGCGAGACAACCGTTGAGCGTGCTATGATAGAAACCTGTGAATAATTGTCTGTAGGTGTGAAAGAAGGTTTCTATCATTGCAMGCTMAMYGGTYGTCTCGCTTCGATGCAAAGGCATGGCTACCTTTCAAGATGGCGCAGGTAACCGTGAAGGTGACTATTGATATTTACAGATTATAATAAGTTCTTCCAACAGAACAAAATCTACCAATGTCACTGAATTCAGAGTACGAAATGTTCATRAACGTGACAAAAGATCGATGTCTGAACCGGGCCTTAAATAATCACGTCTTTTTTCTCTCCAGATCCTGTGTATTCATCTCAAACGATTCAGGCATGAGATGTACTTTTCATCGAAGATAAGCCACTACATATCATTCCCAGTATCGTCACTCGACATGAGGCCTTTCCTAGCAAAAGGTTGGTAACTCAAAACTCAAAGCAATACAAAACCAAACGCATATCTGCGTGAACTGGGATAGAACAGGGCAGAACGTAATTCCTGTTGCTATTTCTGATACGTTTTTATTTCCAGACTTCAGGTCTGCTAATGGTCACAAAGCTGCCAGTTCATATGATTTAGTTGCCATCATTTCTCATCATGGCAGTGTAGGCGGTAAGTGCATATAAAGTTTTTATTACGAAATTTCTCTCTTTCCATTATTTCGCCTCAACATCACTGAAACAACATTCCTTCATTAAAAAAAGGAACAGCAACGACAACAAAACAACAACAACACAAAACAACAAAACAACTACAAAAAAGCAACAACAACAACTTCAAAAAGCAACAACAACAACTACAAAAAAGCAACAACAACAACTACAAAAATCAACAATAACAACACAAAACAACAGCAACACAAAAGCAACAACAACAACTACAAAAGCAACAACAACAACAAAAGCATCGTTCTGTGAGCTATTGAACAGCTTATGAATAATACTGTTTTTTTTTAATTTCAAGCGGGTCATTATGTGGCGTTTGCTAAAAATTACATCAATAACAAATGGTTTGAGTACAATGATTCATGGGTCAGTGAAGGTATGTCACATATGGTTCTGAAAGAAATACTTATTATCTGTTTAAATCTTTGAAAATAATATTGAGCTAACCACATTATTGGTTATAATGCGCAGTCATTTACTCATAATTATGACCTAAATTAAATTATGTCGTTTACGATCTTGGTGAGCGAGCGTACCGGAAGATGATTCCATTCTGGAGAAGGATGATAAGCAGCATTTCTTGGCTCCCACATTTCTGAACGAGCTCAACCCACTTTCAATAGCGCTCCTTGTGGTTATATGAATCTTATATGAATATATCTATTTGTACCTTTTCCTTAATCTTATCTTATTCCTTTTTTTCAGTGTCTGACTCGTTTATATCGAATGTGGAAGCATATGTTTTATTTTACAGGTAAGTCATCATCATCATCATCATCATCATTATTATKGATAGAGTCGATTTCGTATGAGAACGGCAAGGTCACGGAATCTCGACTGGTATCAACGCCAATTGAAAAGTGGTGATTCAAGAACACATCACCGCTCCGGCACGGTGCGATCGCTGTTTTTCGCACGGCCGTTCGAAATCCGTTTTAATCATCAATGTCAAATTTTAAGTCTTCCATCTAACACCCTACCCTACCCTAGGTAATAACGGTATTTGCATTGTTTGTAGAAAAGTGAGCGAAGATGCTTCAAAAGAACGACAGTGGTTGTTTAACATGATGAGAAATCCCGAGGTAAGAGAGAGAATTAGCCACCGATATGACGTTACAAACCATCCAATAATTACTCATATCAGTATTATTAAATTAACGGTATCACGTTAAAAACCATCCAATAATTATTCATATCAGTATTATTAAATTAACGATATCACGTTAAAAACCATGCAATAAATATTCATATCAGTACTATTAGATTAACGATATCACGTTAAAATCCATCCAATAATTATTTATGATTAAATTAACCTACTTCCATGTCCTCCGCCAGCCCTGTGTGCAGTGTTATTATGTATCAAGATTCTGGTTCACTAAATTCCAGACGTGTGCTGATCCAGGTAGGTTTATTGCTTCTTCAGATCGCTGTTGGTTTAGTTGAGCTGTAGCAAACGTTTATCTCTTGTGGTGATCATTTCAGGTCCAGTAACGAACACTGACTTTGTTTGTGTCCATGGAGGTAAGCTCAAACACTATCAACACGTCTGCGGATATGTAGAAATCCGCAACCGTGTGTGTTAGTCTGCAAACGTTTCGGCAATAAATCACAATAAATCACAATAAAAGGCTTGTACCTCAAGCCTTTGTATTCTTTGCCAGTTACAAAAATGTAAGTTTATTTTTGTCTACGGCGCTGCCCAAAAAGGCTCTGGTTACGAGATTGATCACAATCAATTTACCGAGCAAATCCATTCTCTTATAATATATAAGGAATAATTAAAGAAACTTCTTTAAAACTTCCCTACGACAATAATACGTAAAGAAAGAACCTATATTTTAACGTCGAATTTTACACTTGTGATATTGATGTTATACAGACGCTATTCACCCMAAAAATCATCACCGAATAAAAGAACTGGTCACTGCCATCCCTGAAATTGTATGGAACCATATCTATAACAGGTAACTAGTCATATCCCCGTAGAGGTCTTCTCTACATGGACGAAATATAGACGATTCTAAACCAAAACCTCTCATAAATTCACTTACTTTTACGTATATGTGTAGTTGTTATTTTGTGGAGATTTGTTTTTAATCGTATGAGGAAGTGGCTGATCCCAGAGATTTGTATTTATAAAGAATGTTTGTGGTTCCATTTTTATGGAAGGTACAGTATTATTGGACGGGGTTGTAATGATATTGTTATTATCAGTTATAACGACACTGTCATTTTTTCATGTACTTCAGGTATGGCGGCGGTCCTGTGGTTACAAGACTGGATGCCTGTGAGCTTTGCAAGGTACTTTATTTATCTGTTTAAACCAATTGTTCTTGATTCCGATAATTATTGTAGCAAATTAACTTTCCGATTAAAACCAGAGTATTCACACTGGGAACCCAATACACACGGATCCCAATCCAATCTAACACACCTTTTTCAAAACAAACAGAAAGCAATGGAGCAGAAAGAAAGAAGGCGAGATTATGAAGTGGAAAACTTCAAATCGGTAAGATTTCTATCATGCAAGGGGTGGGCTGCCTGTGTTCTACGTCATTATTAGGCAACCCAGTAATTTACTCGATTTTAATACCCAACATGCGCTTGTCTTATAGTTAAACCAGCWGTACCCTGCTGCAGAGAATGTCGATGTGTATTGTATAAGTATGAGTTGGTTCAGACAGTGGGAAGCGTTCGTCAAACAACAGGAGGAAGGTACGAACATTTTGAAGTGTGAGCAATGTCAAAAATGCCCTTCTTCTTTTGGCCGTCTTATCTAAGTCATTGGGCAAAATTTTACGTCATTGAATGAAACGAATAATTGGCCGATTGCGTAAAATGTTACCCAATTACTTAGATAAGACGGCCAAAAAAACTTCATTTTGATGGAAGGGCATTTTTGACACTATAGTTTGATTGATTGATTGATTGATTGATTGATAGTTTGATTGGTTGACTGATTGATTAATTGATTACTTGATTGATTGATATGTGGATTGATTGATTGATTGATTGATTGGCTGATCGATTCCGATTAAAAAAAATTAATTGAGCAATCTTCAAAATCGCTGTATTTCACGATTTCACATTTTCCGTTTGTTTTTCTTAGATCCTCCAGGACCGATTGATAATCGTACCATCATCACAGCCAGAGGAAACAATAAAGTATTAAAATCAAGTAAGAAGTGATATCAAAGATTATGACGATTCATTGATATTAAATCAATATTAACTATAAATTGTCTCTTGTCTAAGATGCCGATTACGGTCAAGTGTCCAAGGAAACGTGGGACTTTTTGTATGGAATTTATGGCGGAGGGCCTGTATTTGCACTAGAAGCAGAGACAGACGAACAGGAAATATAATTGTAAGTATAGCTATTTGTTCTCGAAATCGTCTRCTTGGTAAAACAGCCAATTGTCACATAAACGGCCGATAGACAYGTTCGATTGAAATTCCGCTCTATCGATTCGTATTCGATAGCGAAAACGATTCCAATGACGCAGTCGCCTCAGTACCAATCAACATACTTCTAATGCTATAATTTTTCTTTTTCATTTTCGTTCCAGAGGCTTGAATTAAGAACCGAATTCAACGTAGTAAATTTACATAAACGAGATACATGGACATTAACCGAGGCAAGGCGATAAAGAAAACTAACACTCAACGCTAAAAAAACGCGCGAAAAGAACAAAAAAAAACCATAAACACATTTCCAATTAACTCGAATGATAGCATATTAAGAAATCTATTTGACATTAAATAGAGACCCAGCTTTGTAGAGACACATACATGTACAGAAAAAAAAACATGGCGACCTTGTACATCTGATTCAGTCATGCATCATTTGAATGTATATATTTTCGAGCTCTCGTCTCAAGAATTTCGTCATAAAAATATTCGTGGTCAATTTTAAAGATCTCATAAACTGTACCATMAGTTTMTTGTAAGAMCCTTAAAARCATTTATCCTTAAAAAAAATTCACTCAGTTTSTTWCGGTCGCCATATTGAATGARCCTGCGRTAAAATTACAATTTGGTCAGCAGTATGTGAATAGTGGGTCAAAAAATATGAAGATTAATTGAAGCATAATTTAATAAGCACGCAAGCCTTCTAAAGGCGTTTTTTTAAATCCATTTGTGAACATAAAGCCATTTTAATCCATTGATTATAGTATGCTCGTCGATCCGCTTCACCGTATTCTCATCCTTGGGAGGGGAGGTTGATTGCCAGTTTAATCCTATGTAGGGGAGGGGAGGGTATATTTTGTCACTCTCAAGGAACTATTTCTTGCATGCAACTGGGATTTAAGTTTTAATGAATTTGCACAGCATAACCCTTTTTCATTCGCGTTTCAACTGAAACAGTTGGAGATATAAGTTATCGAGATTTATAGAGTGACAAAAAAAAGTCCTCAAAAAGATGTATGTTGTGAGTGATTAAAGGTGTTTTCAAACAGAAGACAAACCTTGAAAACCTCGTCTTATTGATAGCGATTTTGAGATATTTTAAAGCATGCCTAAAACGCCCGAAAGATACTTTCCTCAGTGAATGTCAAGTAAAAATTTCTTTCATAAAAAAAATATTATTACATGCATGTGCTATTAATGAATAATRAAATAAATAATAACTAATWATGTTACGTTCACATCGTAATATTGATATTTCATTTGTTTATTTAACTGGTTGTTCGCACTTCATTATTATTTGTAATTGCTATAAGTCAGATAAGAACAGCTGCTAGTTCTATTTTCGTCCCTTGACATCAAATTAGTATATAAACTGCATGTTTTACACCAAAAATCAATGGGTTTTATTGCCGCCAGATCTCCATAACTGGTGGGTAATAATGTTTAAGAGCCGCGTCGGATGTTTTAGCGCATAAAACTAGTCCTGAGTGTTCCTTGTATTCGATTTTCTTTAGTTCTATACAAATTCTAATTTMAAACTTTCTCCGGTAATTAGTTATTATTGATAGTGACGGTGGTCTTCGAGTGAGTCTACTTTCATTGTATTCTAACGTGAAAAATGCCTTTTTTAAATCGACGGGAACTAATTTACCGAACTTACGGTCTTCTAGATTAACTTTTGTACTACCTAGAACTCTCAACACATATCATGTTCACAAATAAAAATTAATTCGTCTTGTATTGTTTATTTTTCACAACCTAGTGATATTTTTAATTATCTTCGCAGGTTACTGAAATAAATACTGGATAAAAATTTTCTTGTTTACTTTTTGCAGTGCAATTTTTTTAATTATATTTCGTTTTAGTAAAAAAAAGATGTGATGTTTTATCCATGCTACAGTTATATTGTGTAGACTATTTTCTTTTTTTGCGAATGAAACTGAACACCACCACCCCCCTATACCTAATTCAGACTACAACGGGGAAATGCCGTAGAGTCCTGCCCTTACTATAGACCAATGGAAAAACGCAAAAAATGAAATTGTATAAAAGAAAGCAGTCTTGCGCAGGATGGTTTAAAATGGTCGACCGGACCCATCTGTCAACSCTTTCGCGATTTTTTAAATTACGACATGAATCTACCTCTTATTAATATGGCATGTAGTACGAGAAGGCAAATCTGCTTATTTTTTTATTTTAGCTAGTAGACGATCTTTATCGTATTCCCAGATATTATCAATCTACATTCGGTAGATTTTATTGATGCAGTTAGTTCAGATATTTTGAAAAAAATAAACAAAACAAAAYCTATATTGAATTTGTGGGCAATTAAACGTCCCTCATCTAAATTAGTAAAATATTTCAATAATTCAGTGACAGTTGACTGATGTGGCCTTCTATCCTGGCAGTTTCARCACAGTTMAARCTRGCACTCACRTTACACTAMCAGCTGATCCGTCAGAACAATCACWTTGGACAATCAAATTRATGTTATTTTACCAACTGGCACGCTGTTTTATGCGGTTRCTACAGAGAAAGTTACGATTCAATATCGTCGGGGTAATGACTTTCAAAAGCCTCTGCACTTATTTAAACATTTTAGACCTGATCTTTTCAGTCGAGCATCAGGCTTATCATTTTATCCTTAAAAAATCGACTAAATCTAATGACTGATGTAACTTACATTATTTCTWACGTATTTAAGATGAACAAGGTCCTCTTTCTCTGCTTTTTTTTGCTTTGTTTGGATTTGCTATATTGAAGTGGTAGCTATTCTATTTTTATGCATTCAGCTGGCCAAGAAACGTTTSAAGTTCCGTYTTGTGATCTTAGTGTTGTTTACTAAAGATATTTAATTCCATCAACAAAATCTTCCATTATTCTGGTTTACTGCAGTTGTTTAAATGTTTTTTCAAGTTTGTCCTGTTTTTCTTGAGATCGGCAACAAACACTGCTCAATAGAACTCTTAATTTTAGAAGGGCTTGTCTTTTCGTAAAAGCAAAAAGTGACACTTGGCGTGCCCCACATTAGTTTGCTTTGACTGTTCAGGCTCGCAAAGCCAGAAATTTCAATTGTAATTTTGATCTTTTCAGGGAACAGAATCGATTCTCAAATGCCTTCCACTACTCAAGTGTTAACTGAAAAAAAAAAAAAAAAATTGACAAAGTGTATTATTTGTTCTTCAAAATGGACTTGTCGGACGGGTCAGCACTAACTATCGGAAAGCACTCTTAAAATTTGTATAACCAAAGTTGCTTGCAGCATTTTTTTTTCCCCCTTCCTCTTCTTAATCTAAACTCGTTTTATGTCGGAAAATGTAAGTTTTAGATGTGCTTTCACTATTCAAGTGATTTTACTGATAAAATCGATTATTTGTTTTGAATCTCGTCGCCAAGGCAGCACCCATCATTAATTTCCAAAACAATACAATCTGCGTTGAGAATTCGGTGGATGTTTGCTAACTGCCCGTATTCAACCACCATTTCTATATCAAAAAAGCAGACCCTTTTATAAAACTGGTGAAACCATTTTTAATGAACTTTTCTGTCACTTCTCGGTGGCTGCTTACTAATTGCTCGTATCCAACCACCATTTCTATATCAAAAAGCAGATCCTTTAGGTCTAGCTTTTATGAAACTGGTGAAACCATTTTTAAAACTTTTCTGAGTTCAGAATGCTTGCTACTGATACAACGATGTCACCATGTTATGTTCACTGTGTCCAGAATGTGTGCATTTTGTTGGAAATATTTACAGGCTATTTATTAATCAAATTTAATATAGCATAGATATATATTATTTACAAATTATACTATAAAACATTTCTCGTTTAGTTTCATTATACAATCTGGAAACAATGTAAGTCCTCATGTWGATCCTGAATAAGTAACAGATGCAGTCGCCATGCTAATTCCTGGTATTCGAAACGTTCTTTTCGCTGCAGTCTTGAAAGCGTCCGTTCTCCACATGTATATTAACGGATTCAATGAGCAACTGAAAAACAGCAGGGTAAAAAGCCAGTTTTTTCTCACGTCRTTGATATCTGTCCAAGGATATGGATAAAAGTCGAACACTGTGTCCGGTACAAAACACACCATTAAAGAAATCACTATCAGRAGGGTTGTCTTTGTCGCTCGGTTGGTCTTCTGTAATCGTACCTGACGATGATTATGGATGACGGACTGCATTTGAATGTTGATCTGTCTTTGTTGTTTTCTTGCGATCCAAAAAATCCTAACATAGCATGATAGAAAGGCAAGAATAATGAGAACATGAGAGTACTGGGAAATGTAAATTGCAGCTTCAGTTTCACTGAGAACAATCACAGCCATACAGATCGAGGATATCCAAATGAAACAGATCACCATTAGGATCTTGAACTTGGAAAAGATGAATGTATTTGTGAAGGGATTCGTGATGGCKAGCATGCGATTGATTGCAATGCAAAGAAGATTTAATGCWACTGCATGCATTGTGGTAATGCTAAGGTACAAGAACGCCATTTCCTGTGATGAYTCGGGYGGAATGTACTTATTGAGGTAAAAAACGTACATTGGCTGTGCTAGAGTACATACTGCAAGGTCGGCAAAGCACAAGTTTCCTATGAGAAGATCAAGACCGTTTTGAAGCTCTTCATTTCTCARGATAACCACACAGACCAGCAAGTTTTCTACTGTTCCACAAATGCAYAATATGGCGTTMACAACGGTGAGAGCAATKGTGGTGGTTTTATCGGGAAATGTCATGTTTATCAAGGTTTTTTTTGAATATCGTCGAGAAAGATCTTCAGTCTTCAGTTCCACTCACCAAAGATATAATTCGCCGTAACCTTGTTTATAACAAGTGCTTTTAAGCTTTAAACTCGGGCAAAACTTCCAAGAACCTCTAGTTAACAATGCATCAAAAAACGGCCTCGTCCTTTGTCAAATCTGCATTTATTGACAGTCTTCTTCAATAAGTAGAACTTTTCATTGGCCTTGTTAACGAGGTAGTTTAGTGTCAGCCGGTAATTCTTAGTCCAAACATCCCTCAGTTTTATATTGTAAAAACTTTCACGTTTTYAAACTAAAAGTTCTTCTTAAACCTGAATCCTGACTTATTAACCAGCAAATTCTTTATAATTCGTTGCCAAACAGAATTAGGGAAAAAATCTTCTGATTATCATCCGTTATTCAGTCTTCACTTGTTCAGTGTTGTTCCATAAGACAGGCAAACTATATTTACCAACTTTTTTTTATACTTGTCAGCAACAGACCACTATAAAGCCAACTGGACTCTTTACATACGTTCTTGCAGCTGTAAGGCCGGGAAATTTATAGAATAATTTGGTCTTTGTGAACGATAATTTGTAGAAATGCTGTAGTTAGTGGAATCACTTCCTTAAAAGTGATGARATTTGGTTGGTGCCGACGTGGTAAACTCGATGAAGAAGATATTCCCCAGACACTCGTGGCTCGTTAATTTGGCAGTGCAGTTTTACAAGGCAGTTATCACGTCTTTAATGAGCTCTTTCAAATTAAAACCTCAACGGAGCTTTGTGGGATAAGTAGTCCTTTTAAACTTGACAATATCTACAGAAATCGGATTTTGTTCGAATTATAATTTGTACTCCCGTCCGGCGCCAAGTGGTTACAGTTACAAAGCAACAGTCGGTATCAATTTGGCTTGCAAATGGAACTATTATAASTTCGTTTAYCGCTCAGTATTTTCCTAAATCGGCCCTCGTTATCAAAGAATTGTCCTTCCTAGCCAATGACCAGAAATCAATACAAACAACCGCAAATGCGACCTTGCGCCTTTTGTATGGAAGAGTTCCTTTATCTTGCAGTATCTTTCTTAAATTAGCTTTCGTTATCGAAAAATGATGCCTCTTCAGAAACCAGTTAAGTTACTAGGGTTACAAACAGAATACTCTCTGGCTCTTGGAAATCCAGGGACTTTATCTTCATGGAATCTAGATTTTATCCCTTTGTAARGATAAGCTTACTTTTTCTAGTGATCAAAAGTATCCTTAGATCGAACCCCGTAAGAACTGCCGTTGATATCTTCCACGAATCTTGAACAGTCCAGAGATGGAGCGCCGCCCAATGTTACCAATCGTTTGACTATGCAAGCTGCATTRCAGRCATTTAAATATCGTTKGGGCATATGTTTGACTAACAAGGTCATTTTCGTTYTAAGTCCAATGGTGTTTACCTAAAATAATTGTACAAAGGTGACTTGTCGTTTGTTACTGTTATGAATATTTACAGTTTGAATTAACATATTRGAATTGGAATWAACAAAAGACACCTTAGATAGCCTTACCAAATCTGGATTRCAGGGGTTTTTGTGGAGTCTCAGTTAAGCGTCACATTTTTAARCTATTTAATAATAATAAATATAGTGAAACCATTTTAGATTCTTTGTCTACAGCTACTCKCGATCTCCCTGCACAGTTTGAAACCTCGCATGACGAACCGTTTGTCAAAGAAAATATAACTTCTAAGTCTATTATTAACTTCTCGTAATCTTTTAAAAACGATGAAGTTAACTTTTGTTCATTTATTACGAATCGAAAGCCAAACAAATTACCCCAGAAAACGTGATCAACCACGAAACCTTTATTACAATATTGGTCGTTATTTGYTTAAAGAAAAATGAATTTGTTTTTTCATCGCATTACGTTACTGTTGCCGCTGTGTTGACAACATAACTCATCAAACTGTTATAAGTTCTGATGGGTTTTCTTTAATGAAATATCATGTAAGTCTCGTGTCTTATTCGTACTAAATGATGTACAAACCTAACGCRGATTTGGCTGTTTATTTTATATTGCTTCGGCCCTCAAGGCCGTAAGGGCCCTCTTGTGTTATAYCCAATACCGTTGGCTTTAGAGAAAGTACTAAGTTGATGATCTTACACCTGCGGATTTCGCTTATCCTGTATTTAATTTCACCCCCCATTATCTCTTATTGTTATACTAAACTCTAACACCCTTATTCTACAACATTTACGATCACTGTTATTACTGGCTCAAAACTTTATTGTGCATTAAAGGATACATATTTTTTAATCTTAATAAAATMACCCACAATATTAAACGATACTCGAGCGAAACTTAATAGTGAATTGATCCATTTTTCGTATAAATGATGCAACAGCAATACTACTAAATATTGATTTTTCATGAATATACGCGAGGCGAATATACTGTACAAAGTTCGTATGAATTGTAAAMAGCATATGCATTACATATATGATACAAATATCGCGCGTTTTTAATTAAGAAAACATACTTTTATGAGTGTCGGCGTCTTTAATCATAACTTTTGGCAAAAAGTACAATTTACCTAAAGAACTTGTCTACACGTAGTTTTGTTCATTTTGAAGTTTATTATTCTTTTTGCTCTGTTTTTTAATAAAGTTTTTTTTTAATTATTTAAAATTTATTATTTAATATTGCTCAACCTTAATTGACCTTTCTTTGTTTAATTTTTGTTTATCAGTTCCGTTGTTTTTGGCAGGAACACAATAATCATATTTTACATGTTTTMTTTAAAACTATCCTATTTTTGATATCCCAAATGTTGTAAACCCTTCAATCCTGTTTGTGATTAATAATGGTATAATTGCTTCGAGTGGTTGCCTTTAGTTACCCGAATAAACAAAGCAAGAGGTTTCACAACCAGTAAACTAGTCTTGYACCATAATTCCATTTTCAAGCGTAACGTTACCTCTTCTATGCCAAGAAAGGTTTGAACTATAATTTTAATTGTAATTTTTAAATTAAAACGTGCGGGACGACTTCCAGTTTCTCTTAATTTCTATGTTATTACCAACAAACGCATCTAATGCGACAAGGTGAGGTGTTTACGGACTTTCAGCTGCTTCAAATAAGATTTTCAGACAACAACTGGTTAGCTGTAATTACTTGTCATTGGGTAATRCGACGACATTTGCAGAAACTTCAATTAACGTTGTCATTGAGAAACGAGGTATCATGGATCGATACCTCGCATTATTACGTCACACCAAAACATCCTATTGTTTTAACGCTAAGGATTATGGTCGCCATAGGGGATCAGAGTGACTGCATATCAAATAAAATGTAGATCAATGATAAATGATGTACATCAAAACTCGATAAACTAAAAGTTCATCTTCTTCCAGAAAGAATATYAATAGGTCCAAATTTCGAGTCTTTTTGAGCATCTATTTACAATGTRAACATRCTGAGACGTCATTATGCCCATATGCCAGTTGCTGCGATTTTCAAATGAAACAGCAGTATAATACCACCACAAGAAGTCCGAATCGTTTCTCGATGACAACTAATTAAWGTTGMTGTATGAGCGAGYCYCATAGTATTTTTGAAATAACWMAATCCTAAGTCAATCACTTTGGACAGCTCGATGARCAAATCTTCTTTAAATCCCCTTCYAAAGTATTKGCYAGAACCKTTGACCAGGCCACAACGTCCCCATCTTGACTCGTACAATTCTGAGAAAGAGCTTTCACTTCTTCGCCACTGAASACACGTGACCAAATATTAAGCCCAGTCATGTGACCAAACATTAATCTATCGATGTYGAACCCACCCCCRTAAGTGGTYTGACTTTGACCTATGATRAGTGTACCTCCTTTGCCGATAGAGCTATCTTCACTGATCTYGTTGACATTATTGACGTTTATCCCATTAATGTAGAAAAACACGTTTCCATCGTCATTTCTATTCCATGTGATGCAAATGTGCTGCCAKGTGCCATCTCTTATGAAGCCAATCTTTTGGAGGCTTAAAGATAATGGATGACCTATATCATTATATCTTTATCCAATTCATTTTTTTCATAAAATATCTTTTTTATGATGTGAATGACAACGATAAAATTTCAATATGTTCTCCGTTGTCCGTGATCCAGTTCCAATATTTCCACTTACCTTGTATTTCCCATGATTTTGATCTCGGCTGTTCTGTCCGGCTTGATATTTATCTTCAAAGCWTCGGTTTGAGTACTCGTTGCATACGAAAAAGGTACAAGTTCTTTGCCAAACGTAGAAGGTACCTATGATCAATACGATATATAACATAGTCTATCCACGAGCTAACCATTCACAAACGTTCTAGGCCCAAGTCAGGTCAGCGGAATGCATGATGGAAGCGAAGTTCCATGAAGTGTAAATCACTGGCCAGATTAGTAATCTGAACGGGAAGAGGGTAGTGACTGACTCTCCTCTTCCGATTGTGAAATTCTGTTTTTCACTCTGGTTCTTACTGTAATATATTTTAGATGATTTTAAAGTCAAAACAAGGTTATTTACCTTAAGCCAAATGGACAGCGTGAAGGAAGAAATACCTGTTGAAGTCAACCAGCTTGCACGAACAAGGTTTGTGGTGTTTTCAGTCGGCCAGTGCAAATCGGATGCTTTCTCTGTGATTGATCAAAAAGTCAAGAATCATACAGTCAATCTATTTGGCTTATTTYATATTTCAGAAGAATGAATGAACTCACCAGTACAAGTTTCACAATTCGCCCCAATATAGTCTGCCACACATGTACAACTGTAACCATTGACTTGATCCGAACAGGATCCACCATTTTGACAAGGGTTGCTAGCACACTCATCAATATCTAGAATCAAGAAAACATGTTAATTGATTTTGTGGGGGACCTAAAAGTATTGTAAACTTACTTGTTTGACAATTTGCACCAGTATATCCTGCCACACATGTACAATTGTAGCCGTTGACCTGATCTGAACAAGTTCCACCATTTTGGCAAGGGTTGCTAGAACACTCATCGATATCTGAGAAAGCGGGCATTCAATTCATTTAGCAGTAAAATTAGGAGATATTTGTGATCATAACTTACTTGTCTCGCAGTTTACACCGCTGAAACCTACCARGCAGGCACAGGTGTAACTATTTAAATTGTCTTTGCATGTTCCACCATTTTGACAAGGGCTGCTAGAGCACTCATCGATATCTTTGGGAACAAACGTTTTGGATAAGTACGACATACTTGACAAAATAGGAATTGACTACTACTCACATGTTTCACAATTCATTCCAGTGTGCCCTGCTACACATGTGCAATTGTAGCCGTTGATTTGGTCTGAACATGTTCCACCATTTTGACAAGGGTTGCTAGAACATTCGTCGATATCTTCGGGAACAAACATTTAATTAAGAGGAATGTAAGATACACTGGGGTTAAAAGGTGATAAGAAACTCACTTGTTTGACAATTTGCACCAGTATATCCTGTTACACATGTACAATTGTAGCCRTTGACYTGATCTGAACAGGATCCGCCATTTTGACAAGGATTGCTGGAACACTCGTTGATATCTGAGAAAATAGGGGAATTTATTAACCTGAGACTTTTGACTCAGCGACATCTACTGCTTGTCAAAGAGGAAGAATATTTCTAATCATTGTTACATAACTTCCCCATTTTCCCTTATGTTTCTTTGAACTTTTCTAAGAATGGTCAATCCTCGCACAAGAAAAAGTTTATATAAAATGTAATTTGACGACGGACATATATGAATATGTACAAATTCATACAATGTGTTTTCCTTAGGAATGAAATCGCCTACCGTCTTCACACTTTTGCC